TCCAGCAGTATAGAAAGAAGGTTGGTGTCTTTCAGTTGCCTCAGTGCATTTCAAATAGACACACTTGTGTTTAGAATAGAAAAAAAAATAATAATATCTTTTGCTTACTGATATCTACTGTAAACCTGCAAGTTATTCAAGATTTTGGCTGGTCTGGCAAAACATCAGAATCAAATTTAGAGCTCTGAGCAATGACTTATCTAAATGTAGATGTGAACTCTCAGTGTTTGCTGGGAAGCAGCTAAACTGACATCACCAATGTAGCAAAAGTAGTACACCGAGCAAAATACTAAATTGCTTCATTAGACAAGCAGTTAGGGCAAATCACCAACACGTAGTATTTCAGTTTAATCATAATGCCCAGATGGCTCACAGTGGGTGAGAATTGCAATTAAAGTGGGGCTTTGTCTCCATGTCTATCTGCAAGACACCTCTGTGCAACTGAAAATGTATGCTGTGCTAGCAAGTCCTGCAGTAGGTGTCCTCCACCAGGTGCATTTTTACCAGCTGAACTCATTCCAGCTTACGGTTGCTCAGCCTTCCTCAGTGGTCTAAACCATGTCTGTAAAGAGGGGCTTGTGAGTATAATGTAGTGCGTTTTCATCTTAGCTGGCCGGTGATTCTTGTGTAAAACCTTACCTGAATTAAAAGGTTACGTGAGGTCCTTACAGTTTGCCAGCCCTCATTGTGTTGACAGGGGACACCTTTAGCACAGTGTCTCTTGGTGATTTATTTTTTTTTAAGTTGAGCATATGTATGACCTGTTCATGGTTTGTAGATGAACTCAGGTGTTTTCTTAATAGCCCACTGAATGGCAGTTGTTTGTAGCCTTTACATAAGAGGCATTATTTCTTTGGTTTAATGTTGGAAGCCTGCTATCTTTTCTCAAAAATGTGTTCTCAAATGGTACTATTTAAAAGAAAATGTCAAATTTGAATAGTGTACAAAAACAGCTTTGCACATCTTCCTCCCCATGCACATAATGCTCTTTCAAAGAAATTAGTAGCCATTTTGTGGAAAGTTTTGGCTGTGTATATTGTGTTTAATGTATTGAAACGTGTGCATATGTTTTTACCTGGTCAGGATATCATGGAAGGACAAGAGGAATATATCCATTCATTTTTGCAGGAGGGAACTTCTGATAAATTCCGATGCAATGATCTGTGAAATGATCTCAGGAATTGGTGCTGAGTGCTATTTTAACAAGCACTGCACCTTTTTCTTCTGGTGTGTGTCAGAAGGTTCAGTGAAGGGAGAAAAACTCAGTTATAGCAATGTACACAAGATGAGCTACAGTGGCATCATAGTCCTGAAACCATTTACACTTTTTATGAATAACTGGCATTAAGAACATCTACAATGTTTGTGCTACCATACAAGCATTTTAAAGAATATTCATATTAGCCTGCATAAACAACTAAACTGCAATCAATTAACTTTAGGTAAGAGCAGCAATGCAGACAAACCACAGAGGAAGTAAAGTGCCATTAGTGCTTCAGTCTCTCTGATCTGAGTAGATAAATTGACAGACAGTTGTTGTTATAACTGTGTTTCCAGTTACACCATTGTCCTCCGCCAGGAATTCCTCAAACACGTTTTCTCTCTTTTTGTCTCTCTTTTCTTTTTTAATTTTAATTTATTATTTTTTAATTTTGAACTGCATGAGAGCAGTGAGAGTAAATTAAAATTCTTCTGTGACTCTGCACTTGTCTGAGTCAGCAGTATACAATCTAGGTCATGTGTTCCCAAACAGCCTTGATGCAGAATATTTTCTTTCCTTCTATGGAGACTAAGTAGTTTCATTAAGGTACAGTCATCTTGTCTTCTTTCCTCCTCTGTATGCCTTCACGAGGCCTGGGTAAAACGTGTCTGAAAATCTCTACAGTTCTTTTTATTAAACCCAGATAAGCCTTCTCTGAGCTGACAATCATCTTCCACTATCATTACATAATCAACTGACAATTAGAGGTGATGTGTTGTCTCTTAGATGCAATAAATCACAGTAGAATTAATGATTCTCTATTGCATGAAACTACAAATTAGTCAAACATCAGTTTTAACTTTTTTCTTTTTCAGGATGGCTGAAGCTCCTCCAAGTTACTGTTTTGTAGCCTTTCCCCCATGTTCCAAAGATGGGTTGGTGGTGTTTGGAAAGAACTCTGCACGCCCTAGGGATGAAGTACAGGAGGTGGTCTACTTCACTGCTGCAACTCACGACCCAGGAAGTAAAGTTGAGGTAAGGGTGAACATTTATATTTCAGCAGTGAGAAATGAGTATTATAAAAATAAATGAATGATACTTGTTTTCTTGTCAGATTATGAAATCCTTGTTCCCTTCATTCAAACCTCTCTTGAGTAGGGGAAGATGACTTTTCTGAAAGTTCTAAAAGTGAAATTTGGAATGTAATATTTTTGTTGTTATTGTTTAATTGAGGAGGTTTCCATGACCTGCACTTTTTCCAGCAGACAGGCTGACTTGTTCGCATCTCAGAAAACTGCACTATGTAGCCTATATGAGAGGAGGTTCAGAAAGGGGAGAACAAACTGGAAAGGAGGAGGGGCAAGTGTGTATTAAAGGTGAAATGAAGAAATAGAGGTAGCAGAAAGAAAGACAAGGATTAGTGGGGGTGGTCATTTGAGCAAAGGACATCCATCTCTGTGACTGTGCAGAAGGCAGAAGACACTAGGTGGGATGCACAAGGAGGGTATCACCAACCCCTACAGATCATTTATGGATATCAGAGTTGTTACTTCCTCAGAAGAGATCCTAACATCAGTGCTGGTTTCAAAGTGGGACCACTTCCAAGTTTTAGAGACTGTGGTGCTGTTTGTCTTTGCAGCAGTTAATGTTCTCCTGATTTGTTTCACTACTCACATGTAATGGTTTAATCTTGGATGTGAAGTAATCCCATCCCCCTCCTGAAAAGCACAAACTGCTGCTTACTGCAGTGCTGTGTAAGTCGCACTGCAGTAGACCTGTGCTAGTAACAGAACATAAGCGTGACAGTAAGACAGGAAGAAAACTGCAAAGTAGCTTCTCATCCCTGAACTGAAGATGAAAAAAAGTATTAATGTGGAGGAAAAATTTTTTAAAGCCTTTTTCTCCTCAAAGGAGAATAATTGTAAGAGCTTAATGTTAGAGTATTTGTCTATTTTGGAGTCTTTTCCCCATATCTTATCCTTCTCCTTAAATCATAGAAACTTTTTTTTTTAATGGAGGTAAAGTTTGTTGCAGTGTGGTGCAGATGCACCATTAGACAAGAGACTGAAGTGGACTAATACCTTAATTGTATGTAGTTTTACTTTTCTGAAGTTTGGGCTTAACCCTAATTAGATGATTACTTTGGCCTCTGCTAGACTATGCTATTGTACAATTCTACATTACCTTAAAAGTACTGTGATTATAAAATGTGTGGGCTCCAGCTGCTTACCAAATTCTTCCCATTTTCTCTTAGCAGAGAAGAAAAACATGTTCAGTTGCTCTGGGACTGATGTTAAGTGATTGCTTGCACTGCATCTTTATCACACTCAGCACTAAGTATTGTTAATGAGTGGGACTTTTTGCTGTTTAAACTAATGTGTGTTAGAGTAAGGTTAAAACAGTTATTGGTTTTAATTATTTTATGAGGTCTAAAGATTCTCTGGTGGCTTTGCAGAGTCCTTTAGCTGCTTTCTTTCAGATAGACCTAAGCATGTATTTACTTGCCAGTTTGAGATGTTTTTCCTGCCTTCATAGACAAGTAATGCCTCCTGTTTATTTTCATGAAAACTACAACAGATAGAAAGAGCACAACAGCACTGTTTGATAGAGCAGATTCTCAGCTACAAAATGCTATTTTTCAACATAGTCACGACCAATAGCTGTGTGTTTCTTCAGCAATGAACAAGAGCCTGTATACAACACTTAAACATCTGTAGAGCCATCTGGAACGTGACCTGGCTTTCATGTTGCTGTTGCCACTGCTGAAACACATTACCCATCACCTCACCGTGCTGACATTCTCTGCCTCCATAAATGTTCAATGTCTCCAGTGAATGTCAAAGGGTACAATTTTTTCTGTATGGAGAAATTCAATGACATCCCTTTGCTTCATACACACTTCTGTGTCAGCTGCCATTCTTTCAGGCTGCCCTCAGCTGCCATCTGTCACATGGCAACAACATGTAATGGAGTGCTGTTGGGAAAGTTCAACCTCTACTGCCATACCACCACATCCAGCTCTGATGTTGTAGGCTGACATAATGAAATAGGAGGCATTGCTTTTGGAGCAGCCCTTGTATATTAAGTTCAATCAAATGAATGAGTCTAGCAAATATCAGTGGAGAGTAATTCTCTTTAGATTTTGCTCTGTTTGGAAACTAGTCACTGCAAAGGTCTTCCAAAAAGCCTTATAGTAATTAATTTAGTAGGAATCATGACTGACTGAGTGGATTAATGAAAGTTCTACAATCAGAGTTTCAGGCTGCTAGGTTTGATTCTAGATTTTGCTGTTGTATAAACTTAAGGACTCTGATTAATGAGAAGATTGCAATTTCAAGCCTGCTAGCTCTTTATGACATCAGAAAAGGAATATGATCTTCAGTTTTTGCTGATTAGCCAAAATGTATGTGTTGTTCTCCTAATGCAGAAACATGTCTAATGCTCTGCTCATCTCGGGATAAATGCATACTTAGCTATACACAGAACTTGTGCAAAACTCATTAATTTCCTGTGTACTGTTAATTGGATCCTTGTAAGTTAAGAAAAGCTTTGGAGAGCTTGAATTCTGTTGCTTCATATTTTTAAACTAGCAGCTATGGGACACTCTATCTACCTTTCAAGCAAATTTGTTGAACTGTCAAAGATAATAAGCTAATGTGGGGAATATAGAGGAATTTCAAAGCTTCTAGATGTAGCCTTTGACATCACTATTACCTTTTTCTTTAAAATGTTCATTTACTGGGGTTTTGCTTTGGGTTGCTATAGGTTTTCTTTCTGTTTTGTCCTATAAAATTAACTGAACAGGTATGAGAGAGTTAAATGCATGTTTTACAAAACGAAAAGTGTGATTAACCTGTTTTACGCTGCTGTTTCTCCTAAGTCAGTAATCCTTTGTGCCTCTGACTAATATGTCTCTCTCATCCATACATTTTTTTTTCTCCTAAATGAATAGCTGTACCTTTTTATTGGTATTTATTCTTATGCTAGATACACGTCCTTTAGTGTCACTGGGCAAGGATGATGGACTTGCTTTTTGTCATGTTCTACTCTTTACCTGTAGTGTACTCCAATGTCTAACCCATTTTGAATGCTTTTCCATGACACTGTCACTCTTTTTTATGAACTTTTACAAGGTCAAGACTCTCAAGAACTCTGTGTCCTGTTTGTTCTGTGCTGCTCATTTTTCCAACTGTGATAATGTACAATATAACAAAAAAATGAAATAGTAGCTCAGCTAGATTATTGCTGTAAAGATATCTAGCAGGCTTTGTTACATAGCTATCAGGCAGTGTGTGACAGTGCCTTAAGCAAGGGAAGATGGATGCTCAGTGAATACTGCAGGTCATTTTAAGTTAGATCTTTGCGGCACAACCAAGCAGAGAGTAACCCTGCAGCTAACTCATCAGCATAATTCCTTCCCTCTATGTCAGCAGGTTCCCAAGACCCTGAACAAAGGGGCTTTTCATTATGGTCTATTCTGTGCCTGTGTGTGTGTGTGTGACAACTTTCCAAACTTTGTTCATGTTTTGCATTGTTATTTTGCAGCGGCAAATGCTGATCATTGCTCGTTGTAGTGGGCAGTATAGCAAACTTGTGTGTGCAGGTTAAATTATTGCTTCCTTAAACATAAATAAGGCCCATTTTGGAATCCCTGCACTAAAAGTAAGTATTTTATCTTCTCCCAGTTTTGGATTTTCTTGTGCAGTAGTGAGAATTTGTGTCGTATGAGTTTTGAGATGCAAAACTCTGTTTTATTTTTAGGGCAGATTTTACTGACTAGATTTCTCTTGTTCTCTTGTAACCTGTCACTTTGCTGTGATTTTCTTTCCCCTGAAGAATTCCTGGGCTGGTAACTTTTTTTGTATCTTAATTTTCTAGACCTTTTGGTTTCTCTTTTAGCTCAACCTCTCTCCTTTATAATCTATCCTTCTACCCATGATTTAATGGGTTGCTTGCCTTGCTAGAACACAGAGCAATACAAACTCCTCTGTCTTCATAGCACACAATATCTTATGAGGGGAACGGAGTGAAGAAATTACAAAGAAGAGTCCACAATAAAGTCTATCACATTGTGGAATATGCACAGTTTTTTAGTAAATTGGTGTTAAACTGCCTTGTGGGCTTAAAGCCAGCCCTCTGTGGGGTAGAAGGAATTCCATGTTCTCTAAAAGTTTTTGGCACAGTTACACCTTAGAAATGTGGGGGTTCTTTTTGGTGTGGGGTTTTTTGGTTTCGCTTGGGGGCAGTGAGATGCTCCTCTGAGTTGTCAGAGAAGTATAATTTTTTTTTACTGTGCATCACTTTGAACACTGCAGATGAAAACTCAGCTGAGGTTAACTATGGTGTCTGGTTTGATGTTAGAAGGTGGATATAAAATTTGGGAAGTAAACTCTGATTATGTTCAAGTTGGATTTGCATTACATGGATATACACTACTCTGGTTTTTGTAACATAATCATCAGACATCCTGCCAGTGCTGTAGTTCAGTTCTGACATACTTTGATTCCCTCTTATGCCGTCTGACTGGGAGGTTATCTATATTATATCTGGGAGTAAGATGTTCAGACTGGTGGTAATATAAACCAAGCAGCAGCTGACTCTACTGAGAACTTACTTTCCAAGTCAGATTGGCAGAGCAGCACTTGCAGCTGTGAACTTAAACCAGGGTGTCCCAGTGTGATACCTTCGGGGGTAAGTGCTGGCTATCAGGAAATCTTCAAGAAACATAGCAGCATCTGTGGCTGTGATAAAACTTTTAATTTATTCCATGGAGATGAAAAAGATTGTAGTCTAAAGGGTTACAGTTCAAACACAGTTTAGGAAGCTGTCTTTTCTTGCTTTTTAGCTGAAAGCCAGTGACTGTATAAGCAGCCCATCATGGCATGCAGTCAGCTTAGCTCAACCCACCCTGTTTAAGCTAACCTTTAGACTTCAGAGGGGAAGCACTATGCAGGCAGACAGCAACTGATGAAAGAGAGAAAGTGATTTCTGCCTTCAGCAGGGTCTATTGCTTGGCTAATCTAAGCTTTTTCTCATTTCTACTCCATTGCAAGCCACTGGCCTTTAAACTAATGTGTTTGACTTTGCTTTGTAACACCATGCATAGCCAGCAGTAATTCAGAGTTAGAAGTCAATCTCTTGGATGTTTCTGCTTTTTCAAAGCCTGTGTTTTGACTGTAGGGGAGCACTGCTACTTTGCTTCCATTTGCCACCAAAGCAAAACTAGTTAGCTTGAGCTATGCATTTGTGTTTGAGGGGCAGAAAAAAACTTACATCCTCTTATGGCTCAGTGTTTACTTGTGGCCAAAAAATATGAGAGTGTTTCAAAGTGGCCAAACATAGAAATTAATTTTAGGGTATCTGTGAATTCTAAGAATCTCTCTCTTATGGTTTTTTGTGACTTTGTTGAAATCTTTCTTATCAGTTTTTAAAGTTAATAAGCTTCATCCTGCTTTCAGTTTTATGTTTGTTTAGAATGCATGAGAGTGCTGGATTTGTAACTTACAAAACAAGAGATGAATTCTTGATTGCTAAATCAATTCTGACGTGTAATGGCACCCAAGGCTGAGAGCATGCTGGAGATGTGCTGCACTCAGTGGTTTGTTTAACAACTTGTATATTTCATTTTGTTGAGTTCAATTCATAGTGTAATGCTGGAGGCCCTCTGGTGGCTTGGTAGAATAGGTCAGAGTGCATGTAGTTCTGTTCTTTGATAGGAGAACCGTTCATCTTTTTCTAGCTCCCTTGAACAACCATATAATATCTCCCCAGTCCTCCCCTTCACCATGCATGGGAAAGCCAGGATGCCCGTGTCATCTGTGGAATTACCTCCTGCAGCTGTATTGCAGTACAGTAGAAGCTGCACAAACAAGTTTCTTTTCGTGATGAAAGGAGAAGTCTCTTGTGCTTATGACTTTCATATTTGTTTTTGGAATACCTCCACCATACCTGTATGCTGTAGCTAGGTTGGGAGGTACGTTGTGCTTTGTGCTAAGTTTAGAATTGCCTTGTTAAGACTTTTTTTTTTTTTTTTGATACTGTGAAATAAAGGAAATATTGTTAGTTTTTGGCCTGCTCAACTCTTCTTAAAGATGTTGACTGCATCTCTTGCATGTGAAGTCCCTATTGTTCACTTTGAGATCTGCCATTGGAAATTCACTGTCACAGGACATGGTGCAGTTATACTGCTTTCAGGACTGGAGTTCTAGTAGATCAGCAGAGCCTGACAATTGGCTCACCAGCAGCCAGTGCCACCAGCTGTGTCACTGGTCTTGTGGTTATTAGCATTCATGCTGTAAGAAAATTATTAGTGTTTGGAAATCCTGAGGCTGGTTGCTTCAGGAATTTAAGGACAGGATTGGTTGCAGGCAGACTCACAGCAGTACCTTCTGTCTGTTGGATTTGTCATTGTCCAGTTTGGCACAGCTCTCATTATGACAGGCTGCTATGCCACTGTGCTGCAGGGATTTGGCAGATCAGAAGGGCTCAGGGTGGGGAATAGGAAGGTTGTGACTAATGCTTGTTCTTGAAATCTTGTCTTCACCTGAGCTCCAAGTTCGGAGATCTAGTAGCCACTGAGTTTTTCTGTGGATACTGTTGTCCTCTCTTAACACTTTCTTCCATGTGTCAGCTGTTATGAACACACGTTCTGATTTGTGTGGAATAGAATGGTTTGTTGTACTGCAAATCCAGCAACTAGTTTTAACTGACCTACCTTTATGATTGATGCATCTTAGATTGAGGTGGATAACCTGGTTCCTCTGCTTCTTGCACCTTGTTTCTACCATGTAGATATTATTTTATCCAGAAAATAGTTTTCTGATGATATTTTAAGGGGTAATTTGAGTTACAAAGATGAAAGTATTTCAGCTTAAGATGAACAACCTGTTGTTGTATCTAGACCTAGATGCTCGTGGCCTTCTTGGCCACCTGTGCACACTGCTGGCTCATCTTTTGGCCAGAATTTGACCAATATCCCCAGGTCTGTTTCCTCTACACAGTTTTCCAGCCACTCTGCCTCAAGCTTGTAGTGTTGCCTTAGATCTTCTAAGACAATTTACATAAATAAGATGTGAATGTTGTATGTGTTGATTTTTTTTGAAGCTGAAAATAACACAGAATTATGGCCTGTGTTTACTTGGTGGGGGGGAGGAGGTGGAGAATCAATGTAGAAAGTGTTGGATGTATATTTTGTTTGCGGTTTCACATGCTCTCCTCTGCACTTAGCCTACTGCCTTCCTTACAGACTGAAATATTTCTAAACTTAGGAGGTGCCTGGAGAGGCCCCTGATTACACAGTTACAGAGCAGAGGCACTTTCTTTTTTTTCAGGATTCTCTGTATCCTTCCAACAGAAGCACACAACTTCCTCTTTCTCCTTCGCTGACTGCTACTGCTGACAATAAAATCTTCTTAATGAATTGCAGCTTTGGAAATGCTTGGTTTTGGAATGAAGCCCAAGTTAGTAAGTGTTTGGTGATAGGGATATGCAGTAGATAATGGTTTGTGAAGAAAAAATTGCAGCATTTTTCTCAGTGGATCACTTTTCAGAGTGTTCATCTTTTTTTTTTTTTTTTTTTTTTTTCTCCCAGAAAATTAGAGCTCCAACATGTGCAAGGTTGTATAAGAGGTTATTCAGTCAGGGAATGCTCACAAGGATGGGCTTACAGAGTACCGACATCTCTGTACTGCCTCAGGTTTTTGCTTTCTCCTCCAGAGTTGAGATGGTTGATATGCTGTATGGCTCTGCAGGATGGCTTCAACTTGCTGATGGACCACCTATGAGATTTAGGGAGCCAGAAATCGCCCTGTGGAGGGGTTGAGGTCTCCCTGTCTGCAGACTGCCTGAAGTTTGCTCCTGTCATGTCTCTGTGTGTTACATAGGAAGGTGCTTGACCCAGCCCCTTTTCATACTGAGGCAACTCTGTGTTCTGCTTTGCATATAACCAAAAGATACAGCTGCTCTCTATTCATTCTCACACATATACAGAGTGCTTTTCCAAATGATGGTGACCTGTAGCTCTGGACAAAATAAAAATTAAAAAAAAAAAAAATTGCACAGCATGCCAAAAAATATATATATATATATCTGTTGGATGGTTCTTAGTTCCAGGCTAATGCCAGATGTTGTTGTGCTCCAATAGATCGATTCTCTATCTACTAAATGATAGTCTATTACTATGTAAGCAATATATACGCCAGCTTGGTCAAATATTAGGGATTTTTCCCTGTCAGAATCATATTGCCTAAGCCAAATATCAAAATTAAGCACATGGCTAAAAGGAAAAGGAGAGTATGTCCCTAATCTGTTCTTAATTCTGAAGAATGGAAGCGTTTCCCTCTCTTTTGAGACGTATGTCCTCCGTGTAAATCATTGTTTTACCTATATTTTTTTCTGTTTTCATAGAATGTCAAGAGTTTGTGTTTACACATAATTCTAATGAAGGAAGAAAGCTGATTGCTGGTGTCTTTGTGTGGTCATAAAGGGCTCTAAAAATGTCATCTCTGATTTAAAAACAAACAAACAACAACAAACAAACACAAAACATATATATCTGTTGAACATTTTAATTGAATGCTACACTATTACCATAAAATTATTGTTCAAGATGGGAAGCTGAGGATCACACCTTGTAATCCTTAGAGTAGAAAGACAGGTCAGGAAAAAAAAAAAGCTTGTAATTGCTAGTCTTAGATTCCCTAGACTTATTGTTTGAAGTAGATACGTTATGTATTATGAAGAGAAGCAACTTTGAGTTCACAAATCTTTTCTGTTTATCCTGTTATGTCTGAACAAATATTCCTGCAAAATGGTGCAGATTACTTCTATCAGGGAAGGTGTTGCACCAGGAATGCTAGACATTAAGAACTGTCTCATAAATGTGACAGTTTCTGTTTCCTCAGACAAAAAAATCTGTGGTCCTTGAGGAACTTGATGTGACCTCAGGAATAAAATGTAAAACCCGTTTCTTTGGTTTGTCCAAGCCAACGATCTAATGATGGATCAAGCTTTCTTCCATGCTGCCTGGGAAAACAGGGCTTGTTTTTATATTCCAAAACAAGAGAAAAGTAATTGTATGTGAAAGATAATGAATGATTTCTTTCTTCTTTGCAGTGTCAATGACTTCTGTGCAGCCTTCCTCTGCATCTTTGACTTGTCAGAATGTATCCATAGAACTCAGATTACAGTAAACCATTTAAAATAGCTGAAACATCAATTTTAAGCAAAAACAATGCCTGTGCTTTTCTTTCTGTGGCTGTTTATCCACTGAACACTTTCAAGTCTTGATTTTTCTTTCTATCAGCAGACTTAGACTTGGTGCAGGGAAAGCATTAAGGAAAAGGGGGAAACTTTCCAGTGTGCTTTGTCCAATTACTGTTATTACACCATTTACATAAAATACAGGAGATGGTTTTTAAGTGGGATGAGAGATTGTTTTGATGTTGTTATGCAGAAAAGATGAACTGTACTGGTAACTGAGAAACAGACCACCTAATTCTGCTTTCTACTGCTTCTAGCACTTGGATTCTGCAAGACTAACTGAAGCCTTCAGCTGTTGAAATAGATGTCTTCTTCCAGTCTTCTGTAATATCAAGACATAAAGGTTCAAACCTAACAAATATTGTTTTAAAAAAATTCCCCAGCTCATATTCAAGAGGTGGACTTTTTTTTTCATGATGTGTATCTTGTCTCTACATTAAATCTTGTGCTAAAGATTGAAGTCTATGTTAGAGTCAGAAGATTAAATCCAGTGCTTGCAGCTGTTTTACATTTTCTCTTCTTATTTTCTCTGCCAATGCAGTGCACATATATTGAGATTGAGCAGGTGCCAAAGACTCATGCTGTTGTGCTGAGCAGGCCTTCCTGGCTTTGGGGAGCAGAAATGGGAGCCAATGAGCATGGAGTCTGTATAGCTAATGAAGCTGTTGTGACCAGAGAACCAGCTTCTGAATCTGAAGCCTTGCTTGGAATGGATCTTGTCAGGTGGGTGGCTTGCTGAGCTGTGAACATCCTTTTAAAGGCCAAACATTTAGGTGATGATAATGGGTAATGGCTTTAGTGGTGCTGGTGTTAGAAGATTTTAAAACAAAAAGCACCAAATGCTTTAAGGCATTTGGAATCTGAAGTTGGCTACTGTCTATGTGCTACTTGTGCCTAATATGAGTTTACTAAACCTACCTTGTCTACCTACTATACAATCTAGCAGTGACTATTCCATTACATTGTTATTAGGAACTCCTAATCTGTAGCATAAGATTGCTGATGCACCCTTCATTCTTCACTGCTTTAGAACAGCTTATTCTGATCTAAAAAGCTTATCCTGGGCTTGTAGCCAACTGTAGGCATAAACAAACTACTATGCTGCACTTCAGCCCATGCATTCCAGCACAAACCATTGCCCTTTTTTTAAATTCTGGCAAACAAAACTCCATGGAAGTCTGTTCATTGAAGACTGTCTGCCTGAAACACTTGTGCTGCACTGTGTGTCTCAGTCTGCATGCTGATGCTACAGTGAACAGAATTTAAAGAAGAGTTACATGGAGGAAGAAAGCCGAAAATGAAAGGACAAGAGAAAATGGTGTAAATCCATCACAAAGAAAGGAGAGCGAATATTCAATTTAATTATAAGATAACACAGAACAACTGCTAGAAATTTTTCCTAATGAGCAGGCTGAACCAATTTCAAGAGCATACTCATTTTACTTGATCTAGTGAAAGATGGGAGAGATTCTGGATAACTGGAAAAGGTTAAATGTTGTGGTATACCTAGAAGTGTTGAAAAGAGCTGTGGGTATAGACCAACATAACTCAAGGGAGAAAAAGCAATTAAATATCAAGGAGATGACAAATGTTCAGTACTGACTATTAGTCATGAAAAGTCCTGTCAAACTTCTAGTTTGCCCCTGTAATGAGTTAATAAGTTTTAATGTTAAGGAGTAGAGAATAGATAGTTTGACTTTTACAAAGTCATTAAAACCTTGGCAGGTATTCTCATAAGTAAGCTGGGAATCGTAGTCACGTGAAATTGCTGTTAGATGTATAGCTGCCTGAGAGTGTAAATGTTCTGATCCTTACATCTCTGCAGAAATACAGTTTTGGGTTCCAGCTATCACAGTCAAGAATAATGTGAGCGAGCTGGAGGGGAGACGGTGAAAATGGGAAATATGATCTAGAGAATCTGATCAATGGGAAGTTCATGGGGGGATTGGTGTTACTTTCCTCTTCGGTACTTCTTCTAACATCGGTGTTACTGAAGGAATCTACAGAGAAGCTGTACATAGGAGGACTAGTGAGTTTGATTGCATTAAGGGAGATAAAACAGACTGGGGAGATTTTTTAAGAAAATGTAGGACAAGATTTTATCAAGATGAGGAATGTGGTAGGTGATTTTGCAAGGTCCACCTTTGTTTTACCCCTCCTACTATCATTCTCCAATTTTAATAAACTGTTGTTTTAGGTGCACAGTTCTAGTTGTTGTTGTTGTTGTTTGAGGTTATTGCATTCTCAAAGTACTATTAGTTAAATAGTAGTTGAAGTATATATATTATCCAGTAGCTCTAGGTTTATCCACACTAAAATATTAGGAGATACCAAAATATGCAGAAATGACACAGCCTACCAGTGGTCATCACCTGGAGATATTACTCTCCCTCTCTTCCTTCTTATCTGCAGGGGAAATTGTTTGTAGCTGTAAGGCAGAGAGCATTTGAGGCAAAGAGAACTAGGGATTTTGCAGACTACCATCTGTCTCTTGTTGCGGCCAGAGTGGTTCTTTCTTACTGCAAAGACTTGGCTGGTAGCATTAAGCTTAACTGTTTTGGATGATCTCATAGAATAAAGAGAGCCATCAAGTGCAAAATCAATCATACAGGCTGCAATGAAGCAGCTGGCACCAGCTCTTCCTCTTGGTACCCATTTGCAGAAATGGTTATCTCTGTCGCTCAGGATTTATTGGAATGAAAATTAAAGGAGGAATTTTAAGCTCTATTAAGAAATGCACGTGTCTGCTAGTCCTCTCCCCTGCCCTCCCCTCGCAATGAAAACCCTATTGGATATCTGTGAAGTTGCACTTCATGAAGTTCTTAGCTTGTTTAGTGCATGGCTGCTGATACAATAGCCAAAAAAATGTTTCCTCACATATGGCAGTATAGTAGGTTTAAGACACTTCTGCAGATTTTTATCTTAGTATATCACAGAGCAGCAGATAAGAATGATTCTTAAGAAGGAATGGAGTTTGTGCAGTTGACCTGGAGGGTAGAAGTTGGTTGTTAACACAGGCCTATCCCCATCCCAGTTTTATCTAAGTGAAAAACATAATGGTAGTTTTGACAGATAGAAATACTGGGAGAAAATTGATTCCAGCATAACTTCTGAAGAGATGGAGTAAATGAGAATAGAAATTGAAAAGCTTAAGATAATTTTTGACAATCTTATGGTTTTTCAGAATGGCACTGAGGCAGTAGGCTGTACTAAGTTGCAGAAAATTTCTTAATGGATAATTCGAGCTGTCCAATCTCAGTGCAAAATTACTTTAAGCTTTTCTCACAGTGTCCCTTAACAAGTGCTCTGAAATGTGTTAGTGGGAAGGTTATGCTAAGTTATGCTAGAGTCAGCCAGCAAACTGATGCCAAGATAAGTGGCAAGACCAACATTTTTGTAGAGATGTGTGGTTGCTGTGTGTTTTTGTTTTTTATTTTCCCTGTCCCTTGCTACTGACAAATAGGAGCACACAAACAAAAGCAGAGCCTAAGCCTTAGTAAAGTGGAAGTAAATATAATATTGAAGATATTTGCTATATTAGTGATCTAAAAGAGATTTCTATAGCCTAAATCTCTGCTGGAGTTTTCAAAGAGAAAGCTAGACTAACCATCTCAGAGAGGAAACTGCAGGGAGAAGTAAAAAGTTTAATGTGATGTTGTGTCTCTTACCAGGTTTTGATCTAATTATAACCTAATGCTTTTGATCATAAGATGAGGAGAGGAGAATAGATTATCCTTGAACTGGGTGACTATATGGCCATCAAAGTAGTAGTCAATCCATTAATTTACATGGACCAAGGAAAGTTTGTGGAGTTGTTCTTAGAAAACACGTAAGATGTGCTTTTGTCTTTTAGTGGAATGATGTATATAGTGTATGCTGAGATTGGTGCTTCTGTATTATTCTGAAATAATGACAGCACGAGTGAGGAAAAGAATGAAGGAGTAATATAAATGCATAGAGACTGAAAATGGAGGCAACAATGCAAAATGAGTTCCAGCTAATACGAGGAAGAAAATGAGAGGGATGTAAATATGAAGTCAAAGGATGATGGAGGAGGAATGGTCACTTTTAAAGCCAGTATCTAAAATTTTAGTTGGCTCTCCTTTGTCACTAAGTAAATGCTGTTGAAAGAGATGAAATCGTTGCTTTCAATAACTCAGACTAAATCAAGGCTAACAGTGAACCGTGCACAAATACCTCTGTCCTGTGTGCAATAAACATCAAAGGATACCATACACTTAGCTTCCATGGCCAATTAAAAATTCGCACATTCAGGAAAGGAGGTTGCAGGCAGGTGGGAGAACTGATTACAGTCTCTTATCTCCTGTAATAATCATTTCTAATTTTCCATTGTTCTGTACAGAGCAGAGTAAACTTGTGTATAGCTGTTACTTTAAAAAGGCCATTTAAAATTATTCTTCACTACATTCTGTCTGAGTGGGATAGAGTATTGAAAGGTTATAGTGCTTCTAGTGCAGCCAAGGTCATTGGTTGGTGGTTTGAATTCTTTGGCCAGCTCTGATACTGAAAATAAAGAAAGCAGAGTAGAAAATAAAAGCTTGAAACAATATATATTTCATCTCTTAGTTCTAGTGATTCATTAAAGTGAGAACTATTACACCAGGCAGGCTTGGAACTTCTGTGTTTTAATACCAGATCAGTGCTGCTGTTCAGAATGAATAACTTAGACATCTCACTGTTATATATCTGCTTGAAAATGTTTTGCTCTTTTCATACAGACTTGGCCTAGAAAGAGGTTCAACAGCCAAGGAAGCATTGGATGTAATAGTTGCTTTGTTGGAAGAGCATGGGCAAGGAGGAAATTACTATGAAGACGCAAGTTCATGCCATGCTTTCCAAAGTGCATTTTTGATTGTGGACAGAAACGAAGCCTGGGTACTGGAGACATCTGGAAAGTACTGGGCAGCTGAAAAAATCACAGGTCAGTTCATCACTCACAGCAAACCTAGTTCATAATAAATGTTTATTATTGTTTTGGAATTGTTTTGGAAGAATTGTCTTAAAGTACCTGAGTTTAAGTAATTAATTTATGCAAGTGTTCAATTAAACCTTTAATTTTTAATTTAAGTTTTAATTTTCTTTTAATATTTCTATTACTTTCAGCTTTTAAGCATTGATTTACACTGGTTAATGTAGCAGCATTTTCTGTCAGGTTGGAGAATATGTTACTGTATACAAAAGCTATATAATCATTATGTTTACACTTTTATCTTTGATAAGTGTTGTGCTTCCCCAGATTTATTTACTGCTTGGAATGTGTCAAGAATCTTTTCGCTGTAGTGGATGTAGAAATTATTACTTACTAATCTGAAATATTAAGAGGCTAGGATAAGCATTAATAGCTTTGAAAAAAGGGCTTATGTGTAGGAGGTGGTTGTCTTAATTTCAGCTGGGACAGAATTGTTTTCCTCAGTGTTTGGTATGATGCTATGTTTTGGTTCTTGGAGAAAAACAATGTTGATAACACACTGATGTTTATAGTTGCTGCTAAGTCGCATTGTACAGAGACAAGGCCATTCACAGTGAAGGGCCCAAGGAACTGGGATTGAACAGAATTAGAATAGCTGACTTAAGCTGACTGAAGGGATATTCCATACCATATGACATCACGCGGAAGGAGTTTTGAAGGGGAATTGGGCTCTCCTCCACCTCTCAGAGTCTAGCTGGGCAATGGTTGGCAGGTGATGAGCAATTCTTTGTGCATCACTTGTTGTGTACACTTATATATTTATATGTCATAATTATTTTCCTTTTTCTTTTCTCTATCTTGGTAAATAGTTTTATCTCAGCCCCTAAGTTCTACTTTGCTTTTTGATTATCTCCCCCATTCCACTGGGAGGGGGGAGAATGAATGAATGGCTGTGTGGTTATGAGCCACCTGCTGGGTTAAAGCACAACAGTGGTAAATTGAATGGTCTGCTTCTGTTTGCTTTACTGCAATAGATATAGGACCCTCATATTCCCATTTCTTACCTAACAGTGAAGGATAAAAGTTTTTTTTTCCCTCTTTAATAAATCATTTGTTCTTCTCTGTGTGTGAAGTCAGAGCTTCCAAAGTGACTTCTAAATTTCATTAACTTTGTGGCTGCACTTACTTAAAACTTTGTAAAATATATGTGCTGCCTTAATATACTAAGATTGTCTAAGGCATACATTTTTTGTGATCTGGTTTATCATTTTTAGTTTTGAAGGGATTTTTATCTCTGTAAGAGAAGAACTTTATAAAAACTACACACACATTTGAATGAAATAAAAAAATTACTACGGTTATAAAAAGACAACCCTCTTCTATTGACCTACCTGGCTGCTGTTTGAAGTATTTTTCACTTAACCTTTTTAGCTACATCAGCAATATATAACCTTCATGTGCTTCTTCCCAGCAAGTAAACTGTTGACTTCATCTGCAGCTTGTATCTTTTTGAAGTGATACTGTAACTCTGTTCTCATTTTTACCAGCACATTTCTCTTCCAGGGGTCCTTGTGAGCAGCAGATTAAATTGACCAGTTTCCATCTCCTTCCTGTAGCCTGCTGAGGCTGACAGGATGAAAGGGGATGGCTGCTGGCTATTGAAGAACTGTGTATTTCATACTTGGTTCAGGAGGTTCTCTTCTGCAGCCATATTTATGCCTTGAAAAATGAATGTGTGGATGCTGTTAAAACAGGGAAAATGTGTCATTTCTCAGCAGTGGGAAAGATTTTTTTTCTTGACTGTCCTCAGGATTATTCTTTCCTAATTGCTATAGTACATGTAAAGCTAATAGTACATGTTTATCAAGCAAATTTTTGACAGTAATTTAAGGATAAACATTTTAAAATTCATCCTGTTGCTATTCTTCACTCTGAATAGATAAATTAATCCGCATGATAAACTTGTCCCCCTCATGGGGATCAAAACCATGAAATGCTATTTCACATCAGTTACTAAGTGTAATAATTAAAGAGTTTCTAATGAGTAGCTTGCCTAGCTTGATGTGAACTCAAACGTTTTTATTGCAGAAGTCAAGACAATTCTCTGAAGGCATGCTGCTTGAAAACATGAACACACTGTCAGAGAGCAAATCAGAACTGAATGGCAGTAACTTTCTCAGACTTATGCACGTAACTTCTCACTGTAGTTCTTCCTAATTATTTAAATAGAATGTGGCATTAGAAAGGCAAGCTTACTTTTGTGGAAGGCAGTATTAATAACTTTTAGAAATACTGCTTTGGTTTCTGTTTAAGAAAAAGTTTGTGCCAAATTCCAGAATCTGATTTATTTTAGTTTATGGATTTGCTTTATCAGCTTTTCCTTTGGCTTCCTATGCATTTACTTTATCCTCTCTGAGGCATATCTGCAGCTGGCACCGTTTGTTAGTCATGCTGTAGATATATGGGTATGAGCACTGCAGTATTTTTGAGAAAAGCAGTTAAGAAAAAAAACAACAAACACTTTAATATTCTTTGAAGGTTGTTTATGCTGCCATTTTATTTCATGGCATTTTAAAATTTAAGATTAAAAATGAATGCTTTAACTTAAGCCTATCCTTTGCTGCTTACAATAAAATTATTTTTCAATTGGGGAGCTAAAAGCAATCAATTAAAATATTTTCCAAATTATATTTTCAGTTTTAGGGTAGGAGACAAAGAGCATTTATTAACCTAAGTGAAGCTTGACTGACATATATTTTACGTATCAAATTAGACCTCAAGTCTTGTTGCAGCTGTCTCACTGGACAGAAAAATAAGGCTGGCATCTTCTCAGTGTTTAGATATGCCTTGTAGCATTTGGAGACATCTTTTACTTTATGATCATGTATGTGAAGTACAGAGAGACTGTGAAACTGCTGTCTGACTGAACTGCACTGTTAATCACGTGGCAGCGTAAATATCTACATAGGGCAGAGAGACTGAGCTTTGCAACCTGCAGTGAATGGTAACTGCATGTGTAATTATGCAGTTATATTAAACGTACGTCCTAATTGATGCTTTCGTTTGTTTCCTAATTGCAATTATTTTGTCCTTCTAGCAACTCCCATAAGAACTGTATTAATACTCTTGTAATATTGGCTCTTTCTGTAGAGGGGGTGAAATGCATTTGCAATCAGCTTTCACTAACTACAAAAATTGATGCTGAGCATCCTGAACTAAGGGATTATGTGAGAAGTCAAGGCTGGTGGAACGGAGACACAGACTTCAATTTTTCTGAAGTGTTTTCTCTTGGTGATGGCCATTTAGCCAGTTGTTCTGGCAGGGAGAGCTTGGAAAAGCAAAGTGGTAAGTGTGAAATGGGTTTGGGGTTTTTGTTTTGTTTTTGTTTTTTTTTGCATATACAGCAGGATTTTTTTCACTACTGCTTACTTTCCATCATCTGCCAGAACTGCAGGTGACTGAAAATGATACCTCTGTATGTAAACCATGTGGAAAGGAAGACCAGAACTGAAGGCTATTCTTAAACTTGCCTCAGCTTAGAATGAAGTCCTTAGTGTTCCTCACAATTTTGGTTTAAGAGAGTGTTGAAATTACAAAATAGCTTGCTTTGCTCTTGTTCTAATGTGCATGATGTGCTTTGATGCAAATACAGTGGCCTTGCTTTATTTTTTTAAATACTGTATTTATAGTATTAAGTAGTCTCATGTATGAAAGTTTGATCTCAAGGAATGCTGTGTTTTGGAATATTTAGGATTTTGGGGTAGGAATTCAGAACTTAGTTTAAGGAAGATGGACACTATTTAATTATGAACTGAAGTCCCTTTTCCACTGTTGAGTGGAACTAAGCTGCCAGGACAGACAATGTGCCAGTTGCCTTCAGTCAAGTAAAGAGTTTATTTCCAGACTGAAATTAATGACTGTAGTTGGCCAAAGTAGCTAGAATATGATCAACCTGTAGCAGTGCATAGCTGACAGGTATTTGCTATTTAATGTATTAAAAATGGTACAAATCATCTTCTTATGAAGATTCCTTTAGTAAAGATGTGAGTTTACTATATTTTTAGCATTTTCATATATTGGCAACTGTCAAGAATTGTATAGAGATGAAATGCTTACTGTAGTGTAGGTTCCTGCTAATATAGAATTACTTGAAGCATAGTTTGTGTGTGAGAGGCAGATAAAACAAGTGTGAAGGATCATAGGTGAAAGGTCTTAATAAACCCAGGGAATCGTTCTGAGGATCTTGATGGACAGATGGCTATGGCTACAAATCTTGCAGCCCTACTGGGCTATTCCATGTCTCCTTGTGGATTGAAGCACTCACACGCATAAGGGGGAGGCTTGGGAATTTGTTGTATGAAGAAGCCCTGTTTGCTTCTAGTGCAAGATAACATGGGAGCTGCCATGGGTAAAAAGCTGTGATAAGGCATGTGCAGGAAATAACATGAGAATAGGAGTTTCTTACAGGTTTGGATAAAAATCTCTGTGACTAGGCTAGATGTAATGAATGTAAGATGATTGTTTTAAATTTTGACTGAGAACTAATGAAAATTGATAAGAAGTGGAAGATCGGGATGTTACTATTCTGAACTTGGATAGGGGTAGCTTCTTTTTGCCCTTGTGGCCAAAAAGGCCAATGGCGTTCTGGGGCGCAATAAAAAGAGCGTGGCCAGCAGGTCAAGGGAGGTGATCCTCCTCCTTTACTCTGCCCTGGTAAGGCCTCATCTGGAGTACTGCGTCCAGTCCTGGGCTCCCCAGTACAAAAAAGACAGGGATCTCTCGGAAAGAGTCCAGCAGAGGGCCACGAAGATGGTGAAGGACCTGGAGCATCTCCCCTATGAAGAAAGGCTGAGTGAACTGGGTCTGTTTAGCCTTGAGAAAAGAAGACTGAGAGGGGACCTGATCCAGGTCTATAAATATCTAAGGTGTGGGGGGCAGAGTGGTGAGGCCAGACTGTTTTCAGCAGTGTGCGGAGACAGGATACAGGATGAGGGGGAACGGCCAGAAAGTGCAGCATAGAAGTTCTGCACCAATGTGTGCAAGAACTTCTTTACGGTGAGGGTGACGGAGCACTGGAACAGGCTGCCCAGGGAGGTTGTGGAGTCTCCTTCTCTGGAGATATTCAAGATCCGCCTGGATGCCTACTTGTGCAACTTGGTGTAGGGATTCTGCTTTGGCAGGGGGGTTGGACTCTGGAGGTCCATTCCAACCCCTACAATTCTGTGATTCTTAAAGGAAAATTAGGTGTTTCATGCAAGTGATCTTTTCACAGTGATTGCTGAAGCAGCATTACAGACAGGATAGCCTTCCTGAAAAAACCCTTTTATATGAGATTTCTCCCTACATAGTAATTGTAATGCCTAATTAATGTTTCCTGCTGTTCTCTTTTACTGATAGATAAACTCATTCTGGATTTACATTGTTAAACTGTTAACTGGGATTTGGCCATACTGAGTGTCACTGGACAAACCAAGTCAAACCCCATTCAGACTAAAATCCTTCCCTGGGGTCCAAGCCACTGAACACTCAGGAATTTTTTTTCCCCCCATACAGGTGGTGTTTCTGCACAAACTATGATTGATGTCCTGCGTGACAAGGATAGCGGTGTCTGTGTGGACTCTGAATCTTTCCTTACTACAGCTAGCATAGTGTCTGTTCTGCCTCAGGACCCTAGTTTTCCCTGTATTCATTACTTCACTGGCACGCCAGACCCTTCAAGGTAAGCTACAGCACTGGGGTCCTCTGGATGCAGAGTAGATGACGGTTTGAAAGATATTAAAGAAGCTTTGTTTTCAGAATTGGAATTGAATTGAGAAGTGTCTGTCTTCCATTCTGTCCTGTGGTTTTTTTTTGTTTTTTTTTTCCAGAGACATTTTTAGCCAATAGGATTTCCAAAATGGAAAGCTGGGTGAAACCATAGGATTGTTCTGAACACTAGCAGAACCCAAAATTACAGTGACACAAAGTCACCTTTCAAAATAATTGTCAATTCCTAGTAGCTACTAGGAAGGTACATTTTATTGCGCTTCCTTTCATGAGAAAGCCAATGCAGAATTATTTCCTTCACTTTGAGAATAGGTGAGATGTGTGCCACCTTTTCTGTATTAGCAGAGCTTCCATTGACTGGAACATTTCCTGCTGCTGAACAGGCTCTTTCCTGTCTTCCCTACCAGTCATCTGAGGTTGGGAGAGGAAGGGATGTAATGAGAGGAGCACCGGGTCAAGAGATGATAACAGAGAGGCTAATAATGCAACTTCCCGGCTAGGCAGGCAGGATCGGAAAGATATGGCAATGTTACATCTGTAACTGGGAGCAATGAATGCTCTCTGGGGACACAGATTTTTTTTGTGGAGGATGTTGAAAGATGAGTTATTATTATATAACCTTCAATTAACAGAGTCTGTAGGGGACTCTTCAATTTTAAAGCCTTCCTTGTGAAGATGAAGAGAAACATCTCTATACCACACTGCAGCAGGATACTTCTTTCTCTGGCTGTTCTTTCTGTTTTGAAAGAAATTATTTATGAATAGACCTGTGGATTATTTCACATTGAAAGATTTCTAGGATGGGAGGATTATGGATAGCAGCTATTAGGAACCATGAGCAGCCTTCTGACAGGGCAGAATTGCAGTGAATAAATTCCTCTCAAACGCCCTGCCCATCATCTACTGTATTCCCATTCTGGTTTCTGGTCAGATTTTGGGATATATTGATAAGACTTCTCTGAACATATATAAAGAAGAACAGTGAAAAATAAAAGATTTGGTGCATTTCACCCAGTTAGTCTGTAGATAACTTTGCATGTGAATTGATATTTCAGCTTGTTTAGTGGGCTGTCTTTGGTCATCAGAAAGGGATGTGCAGTGCAAGCAAGGCCTTTTAGAATGACATCTTCATTATTAAACAGGTCCAATAAAAGAAGTTAAGTTTTTCTCAAGGTATTGATGAGCATCTAAATTACTTTATATTTGTTGTTTATAAAGCAATTAGTTTTTCTAGACTTCAAGGTGTTTTGTTCTTAAAGTGAAATGAAATTAACCTGGGCAGTAATTCTGTGTTAGAATTACTTGCTAATTTTCTGGTTAATTAATTGTACTTAACTTTTCTTCTTTTGTCAGTTTTGTCAGCATGAAGGCAATAATACATGTAGAAAGAAAAATAATAATGAAAGCTTAGTGTGCAAATAAACTCAAGCACAAGAAAAAAACATCTAAGTACAGAATGCTCTTGGATTATGTGACATTTAATTAGCTATTTTTGACAGGCCCCTATTAGAAGGAGGAGATGGATGTCCTTGGAAAACCTTTAGTTTGTATGTGACCTACAGACCAGCCAGTTAGGTCTCTGTGAAAAGGATGAATTTGTGCCATCAGTTAAAATCTGAAAATTTCATTATCTGAAATTTTCATTATCTGAACAGCACTTTGTTCATAGCTGTTTTCCAAGTCACTTTTAGGTCACTAGGCTGTAAGTGCACCATCGTTACAGTGCTGTTTAGGAATGTTACTGTTTAAAAAGGCAATGCAAATCTTCACATACACTTTCTAATGAATACACTGCATGATGTTTGTGTATTTATAGTATATGCAAATGCTTCAAGGGCATGTTCTAACCAGAAATACCATCAGTAGTCAGTCATGTGCAGTCTGACAGTCCTGTGTTACTGAACTACATCTCGTTGCAAGTTTAAATGGACCCCTGTGTTGAAAGGCTGGGTTTGCAGTGGTTACTAGCCAGCTGGATTCTTGTTGAGATAGGAAGTTTTTGGGCCATTTATTGCCTCTCTTGAACAGATAGGTACTTTTTTCAGTTTTAAGCCTAACTAGTGAAGATGGGAGTTCTCGAGGTAGCGTTGTATGGCATTAAAAAGTGAACAGAACATATGCAACACTCCCAAAAAGTTGCTCCCAGATATCTTCCTTATTGGACACTTGATTTCCATTGCTTTATCAATGTCTTTTCTAGTTGGATGCATCTGAGAATACAAGGGAACTCGTGGGCTAGATCATTAGAGAAACAATTTATTTATCTTCACTTATAAACAGATTTCATCTGGGAATCACAGATATTAAGCTGTATCACTTCAGTTATTCAGAGATTTGCCTCTTGCAATGAGGTAAAGAAGCTATAGGGAGAAATAAATGAAAATGGTGTCCTCAAACAGATGATTGTTCCTGTAAGAGTGGTTAAGCATTACGTGCTACCAAGTGCTACGAAATCATTCATGCCAAAGGCACTTTCCATCCGCCTTGCATTATGCAACTCAGATGCTAAAGTTTAAGAAAGTAATTTTAAGCTTGCTTTCCAAAACTTTTATTTGACTTGATGCAAATTATTTGGGATTAAAATGAGCAAGGCTTCAAATAGTTTTGGTGAGATTTCTTTCTTTTGTAAAGAATGAGTCTGGCTGTTTAAAAACAAACAAACAAAAACACTTTAGAGGCCTTTCTTGCTTGCATTTATACTCCAGTGCATTGTTTTAACTGTAGGTATTGAGTCAGGCCTCATGACAGTGATGGATAGAGTTGCAGCAATGAACCTGCTGAGTGTATGCAGGCAGCACTATCAGCATTTTTGCATGTCTTGCACTTCTCGCAGCTTCTCTGCAGAATGCAGGATGCTGTTTTGATGTGCATCTAAAGGGAAGGCAGTTTCTCCATGCATGTGAGAATACATTCTCCTCTCAGATTCTCAGGAATTAAGATCCTATTTCTTTTATTTCTCCTCTCCCTGAAGTCAGATCCAAATTAAGTGTTGAAATTGCTATGATGTGTCACAGTATGGGTAGCCATCTTTTTTTTTTTTTTCCCTCTTCACATAAAATTCACCAGTGCTGCTGGTCATGTGCCAAGTCCTCTGATATTGAACAAGCTGTGTAATTGTCCATGCTACACATGGACACAAATCACACACACATCTGCATTTGTGTGATTTTAGTGGAAATTCTGTCTGTGGGGAAATGAGAGATGGCAGCGTGAACAGAGGAGAAAAAGCTGATGTGAGGCTGAATGCTGAGATTTTTTTCAGCAACTCAATACCACTTTTCTAAAGTAGCAACAGAATTGGTGAGAAGGAGACCAGTGAAAGCTGTAGGTAAACCCAGCGAATGAAGTCTTGCAATAATTGGCAAAATTTGCTTTTTTTAAAGCATGGAGATTTATTTTGCTTCTGAACTGTGCCAACTCTCTAACCTAGTTTGTGGATGGTGTAGGTGAATTACCCATGCTGTGCCTGGTGAACATTTGATTGATGTATATAAAATCAGTCTGACTGCTGCAAGCAGTAACTCTCATTTCTTTCAGGTCCGTGTTTAAGCCTTTTATTTTTGTTGATGATGTAAAATTAGTACCAAAAGTGCAGTCCCCTTCTTTTGGAGATGATGATCCTGCTAAAAAGATACCTCGATTCCAGGAGAAACCCGATCGCAGGCATGAATTGTACAAGGCACATGAATGGGCCCGGTCTCTCCTTGAGAGTGATCAGGTAAGAGTTGTGGGACCTGGAAACTTATAATCTTGTACAGATTTCCTTAAAGCTATCTGTTGATGACTTAATTTCGAGTTAGAGCACCATACAAGGTTTATGCTCCACTCTCATCCTTTCTTGAAAATGTTCAAGTTTGAATTTAAAATACTGGCTATCTTTGTATTGTATAGTGATGTCTAGATATATGGAGAGAGGGAAGAAAACAGTGGGACCACTAGGGCCTGCCAGTCATGGTGGTATTGGTATTTCAGGCAGTTTGTGCAAGACCCGCATAGTCATGCTGTACTTTCACAGTAGACTTGCTTTTCTGCAGTTTTCCTCAGGTCAGAATCTTGCTTAGATCATTACAGCATTCAAACTTGCCCACTAGGGATTAAGGTACCTATGGTAACTCAGCTAGTACAAACTTTATTTAAATGCAGTTTTGGCTAGATGTGGTGTTAATCCCTTGGAATGGTTCAGTTAAAAGCTGTGGCCTCTGCGGTAACACTGACTCAGTATATTGCTGCTTTCCATAACATTCATTGAAGTCTGTTCTGTGAGATGCTGATTTAGTGAAGACTTAGAAGCAGTACATTAGTATGTTTTTATTAAAATAAGAAGTCCCACAGTGTGGCACCAAAAGTTCCATTAAAAAGAAAATGAACTTTTAGCCACGTTCTTGGTAAAATAACTGACCACCTGACAGCTTAAAGCTTAGCTTAGGTGCACTGTTTTTCTGTACAAATGGCAGTATAAATCCTGGAAACCTTCACTCATGCTAAACCACTTTTGTTTCTGGAATTCAATTTTAAAAGCTGCAAGCAAAACAAATGGCATGCTTCCATTAAGTATAAATCAATGAATAAGAAACTTTAAGCAACATCTGGATAAAACAAAATGACACCATCAGGAGTGAATTTTCTGCCCAGAAACATGTAAAGAAGTAACCCAGAATGATGCAAGCAGCCTTTCCTGCTATGTGGACTCTCACTGCTGTTACGTTATGCATCATTTCAGATCTAGCCATTGTCTTGCAGGTGATGATTTGGGGGGTAAACATATCCATACAGTCATCAGGGTTTGTAGTCTTCTCATACAGATTAGTTCACTGGTTTTTAGGCATAAGAAGCTGCTTTACATCTTTCTCACACCATATAGTTTTTTTCCTCAATCCATCTTTCACTTCATCTACCTGCTATGCTTTAAACTTAGCAACTGTTTCTTGGTTATTATTCATAAAACATCAAGTATCCAGCACTGTTCCTTTTAGCCTATGACCATCCAAAAAAGCTATTAATAGAAATAGTGTATATTTTAAACAGGCTTTCTTATTTTGAAAAGTACTTGAGAAGATCTCTGCAGCAGAAGAGAATGAGAAACACTTGAATGAGCTGGTTTACTGCTTAATTCAGTTTGTTTATTTTATGCTTTTAGGAGAAGGGCCAGAAACTGATGAGCATTATGTTAGACCTCGAAAAGCAAGGCTTAGAAGCAATGGAAGATATCCTTACTCGTACAGAGATTCTGGATCCTGCTGAAGTAGTAGATCTTTTCTATGACTGTGTTGACACAGAACTAAAGTTCTTCAAATGAAGTAAGCAAGCGCTTTAATTCTTTAGATACTGAATTTCTGGTACCAGCTGTCAGTGAATGTGAAATGTTGGATCCAATTCTGATCATCCTCTTTCACATGAAGTTGAGTGTTTCAAAATCAGGTCCAAAGCTACCTTTCCACTTCAGTGCATCTAATTGTCTCAAAATTGACTCTTTGCTCTGTATTGAAGTGCAAGCATTTATATTTATATTTACATTTTTCTCAGTTTCACTGTTGCTTGGAATGGATTTTAAACCAATTTTATCTCGTTTCAGCTACAGTGGCTACTGTTAGCCTTTTCACAGGAAGACTGCAAAGTTCTTCAAGCCTTGAAAGAAAGTCTTCACACTTATGAATTTGCAGGAAAGACATTTCTAGAGGGAAAAAAAATGTTACTTGCTAGCTATATCTGGTTAACAAATTGCTTTCCTTTGTCCAATCTTGTGGTGTTCCTGTTTGTGTATGTATATAGTGAAAGGAGAAAATCACTGACTGGTCCGATTACTGTGTGCATGCTGGCTAATTTAGTACAGAATGTTTAAAAATGTATGCTGGGCAACAAATTAAAGCAAAGATTAACTTCATCAGGATAACTACCATATTGTCATTGAAAGCAATCTGTTTTTTGTTTTTTTTTTCCTCTGCTGCTCAGGTCTAGGCTTGCAGCAAAGCTGTCTTGCATTTTTGTCTTTTTGCTAATTCATGCAAAGAATAATAGAGTTGAAATCCCAGTTTTGAGGGGGCAGGAAGGTAAGTCCCGTTTCTTGACCTTGTTGTACCAGTCTCATTTTGGCAGATCTGGTAACAGTGACTCAGCATCTCGCATTATGCCTGCGCAAATGGCCAGAATTAGGTCCCCCAGGATAAGTTTTGTCTTCATCTGCCACCTTGTTGTTTGTAAAGCACTGGGTAATGCCCTAGTACTAAGTACTGCAGTGCAGCCAGGCTGAATGCCGAAGACATCTGAACACACCTTGTTGACTCTTAAGACAGTTAATAAAACGATGTACTTATATACAAGCTATAAATTTGGAATATTTTGAGGAAATAGATGCTGGACATTCATCATAACTATTTTTCCTCCAGGCCTTTGTAATGCTGAACAGTTACTGCTGATGTCAGTGATGAGCATACGTGGCATGAATTTGTTAAGTACCAGTGAGTTACTGGTGGGTCTGATTAAGCTTAGAAATGGTTGTGTTACGCTTCTTTATATGACAGATCTGATTTTGTGTATTTTCTTTTGGAAGTCAGATGAGGGGAATACTTTTAAGAATTAAACCAGTAAACACTGCTTCCTGTGTCATATCAAGATAGCTATTTTAACAGGAGGGATAGACAAGAAGACATTTTTAATAAATGGACATCAGCATTTGGAGATATAATCCTTCACTGTTCAGGGAAGGGATAGTGATGAATCGCAGACTTTTGTATTGAGGAAATGAAAGCTACTTAGAAGGCAGCAGCACCTGAAATTCAAACTAAAATTAGGGAAATTGCAATATTGGCTTGTCAGATTTTTAATTTTTTTTAATGAATTTGTTCCATCAGCCTTGTTACCTTGATATTGCCTTATACAACAAATGAGAATTGGAAAAGAAAACATTGGGTTCCATATATAGAACATAAACATGAAAATGTTTTCTCTTAGGGCTACCTAATCACCTTCCTATTCACACTGTATTCCTCTGAGAGGCTCTGCCATAGGAACAGCTCTACCCAGATAGGTCTTTCTCCTTTATTTCAGCTCCTGTGCCTTGGTATCATAAAAATGGATAAAGGGAAATGAAAAAATAGCCAAGTAAGCCTAAAATTTAACTTCTCTCTTCCTGGCCAGAATAGTGACAGCAAGAAGCACACTTCATTCCAGAGACTATTGCACTCGATGAACGGTGTGCTTTCCCTAACTGCTGACAACTCAGGTAAATGGATTTCCCATGAAATCCACATGTGGAATGAAAGAGTGCTTTGAATGAAAATACCCCTATCAAAATAGACTTCACACTCACCAACTGAACTCCAAAGCTGCTTCTGCAGCTGTTGCTTGCAGAGCACTGTGTCCCGAAAGGAAAGGTTGGATATTAGTGAAGAAGGGGAGACCAGCGATAAAATGCTTGTCCCAGTTAGAGGACAGAGAGGCAAGATAGTGTTCCTGCTAAAAAAAAGTGATACATATTTGCCATTTTGAAGGATCGCACATCTGCAATTCTTTTGTGGGAAACTATGTACTCATTGCAAATTGTTTTTTATGACAGAAATCATCATTTTGAGCACAGTGATCTAGGCAGTGTTTATAATAGCAAAAGGAAGATAAACAAGTGTCTGCAGTAACGTGCTTGGTTACAGTCACTTAGAGAAAACCAGAGCAGCTCCATGGCTTGGACCTTCCAGTGGTCCTGAGCACAGCTGTGGCCTAGAACAGTGCAAGGGCATAGTGGTGCTGGCCTGAGTCATTCTTTGTATCCAAGTGCTAGGAATTACTGAAGCTTTAATAGATCTTAGACAACAAGGACTTAATATGTATTAAATAACACTGCACCACCGCTTAAAAATATGTGCAGGCTTTTTAGTTTAATTTCTATAAGATGTTTCTTTTTAGAATGCTCTTAATCATAATAAAAACGGAAATAAAATTGGTCTTCCATTAGATATTTTCTGGCATGTGGTCTGAGCTATATATAGCTTTCAAATATTTATGAAGATACTTATTGTAGAGTTGTACACAAGTTCCAAAACATGAAAATCAGCAGTACATCAACTTTTAATAATAATAGAGCAAAATATTCTTTAATACAGTATTGAACTTCTTTTCCAGTTGTTCGAAAAGCAGTGCTGACCCCTGCTTATTACTATATCCATGCACATTTATTAGTAACTATAATACTGGTAACAGAAAGCATTGGTCAAAGCATTGCTACTTTTTTCTTCTTTTGACATAAGAACAAGGTATCGTAAAAGACTAATGATGCTTCTCTGGAGCCCTGCAGGCAAGGTGTTTAAATGTTTCTTACCCTTACAGCACCTGCACATGGTAAGCATGCACGTATGTATGGATGAGGTGCTGTGAGATATTGTTTAGTAGCTTAGCGTGTAGTAATGGACAGTTAGACTAGATGATCTTGTAGGTCCTTTCCAACCTTGTGATTCTATGACCCTGTGAATAGGAGTCATAGCATAACTCATCTGTTATAAAAACTGACAGAAAAGCAAAGATAGCTAGGGGTGCAGTTACTTGTCTTTTCTAAATACTGTTGTCCAAAGGAATAGCCATGGGGAAGGATCTCCACCTACCATTTATAATATTTTTTAACAGCTGCAGATGTAAAATGTGGTATTTCTAGAAATAAATAATAAAATAACCATAATTAACCTGGCTGTTAAATGGTAATAGCAGTGCCATTATTCACACTGCTGAACCCAAGAGAACTGTAAGAAGGGAAAATCACATAACAGTTGAAGAAGGAAGGGAACTCTGAAGGTCATCTTGTCCACTCCCACCCCTGCTCAAGCAGGACAATCTACAATATACTGCCTAAGTACATTCTGAAGATTTCTGACAAGGAGCTTGCACAACCTGTGTCAATGCTTTTTGTAACCCATGCACTAAAGTAGTATTTCCTCATGTTCTGGTGGAACCTCCTGTGTTCTGATTTGTGCCCACTGATCCTTCTCCTGGCACTGAGCACTACTGAAGAGAGCCTCGCTCTGTCCTCTTTGCAGTCTCCCTTCAGTTATTCATGTACAGTGGTAAGATTTCCCCTTGAGCCTTCTCTACTTCAGGATGAGTAGTCCCAGCTCTCAGTTTTTCCTTGTGGGATCACAAGGGTTGGAAGGAACTTCTGGTTATCACCCTGTTAAAGCAGGATCCCTACAGTAGGTTGCACAGGAAAGCATCCAGGCAGGTTTTGAGTATCTCCAGAGAAGACTATAATCTCTCTGGGAAGCCCGTTCCAGTGCTCTGTCACCCCCAAAGTAGTTCTTTCTCATATTCACATGGAAATTCCTCTATTCTACTGTGTGCTTGCTGTCCCTTGTCCTGTTGCTGGACACCAGCAAAAAAAGCCTGGCCCCATCCTCTTGACACGTGCTCTTTAGGTATTTATAAGCATTGATTAGATCCCCTCTCAGTCTTCCTTCAGGCTGTGAATAGTCCCAGCTCTCTCAGGCTTTTCTAACAAGGGAGATATACTAAGCCTCTCATCATCTTTGCAGTCCTCCACTGGACTCTCTCCCAGAAGTTCCCTGTCTTTCTTGAACTGAGCCTGGAACTGGACACAGTACTCCAGATGTGGCTTCACCTGGGCAGAGTAGAGGGGGAGAAGAACCTCCCTCAGCCTGTTGGCCATACTCTTTTTAATGTATCCCAGGATACCACTGACCACCTGGGCCACAAGGGCATGCTATGGCACATGGCCAACCTGTTGTCTACCAGAAAAGGTAAGCCCTTCCAGCAGCTTAGCCTCTAACCTGTACTGATGCATGTGGTTATTTCTCCCCAGGTGTAGGACTCTACACTTTCCCTTGTTGAACCTCATCAGGTTTCCCTCTGCCCAATTCCAGCCTCTTCAGGTATCACTGAATGGCAGCACAGCCTTCTTGTGTGTCAGTCATTCCTCCCAATGTCATATCATTAGTAAGCTTTCTGACGGTGCACTCTATCCCTTCATCCAGCTCATTAATGAAGATGCTGAACAAAACCTGGGTAACACCACCAGTTACAAGCCTCCAACTAGACTCTGTGCTGCTGATAACAACTCTGAGCTCTGCCAGTCTGCTGGTTCTCAGTTTACTTCACTGTCCAATCTTCTATCCCACACTTCCTAAGCTTAACTATGGGAACACTATATGAGGCAGAGTCAAAAGCCTTGCTGAAGTCAATGGAGACAATACCCAGTCATGACATCATAGAAGGCTACCAGGTTTGTCAAGCTTGATTTCCCCTTGGTGAATCCATGTTGACTACTCCTGATAAGAGATTGACTTCTGGTAGAAGAGACAGAATAGATAGATGACTTCTCCTGCCAGAAGAGATGCTCCAGTCCCTTCATCATCTCGGTGGCTCTATGCTGGACTTTCTCCAGTATGTTCATGTCTCTTCTGTTCATAGGAGCCCAGCACTGGGCACAACACTCCAGATATGCCTTCAATGGTGCTGAGTAGAGAGAAGGGATCACTTTCCACAAGCTGGTGGCAGCTCTTCCTAATGCAGTGAAATGCTGCATTTGTGTAATTCCTGCTGGAAGCAGACATTGTGTGATCTGAATGTCAGTGAGCCAAACAAACATCTCACTACAGGCTGCATCTTAAAAGCAGGAGCTCAAGTCTCATCCCTGGTTGCCTTGCTTATTTCAACCAATTCATTTGACAGGAATCACTATCTTCTGTATGGTGTGCTTCCTCTTTCTTTGACCATTTTTGAAAAGTTCTGTCATCTTTGTCAGGTCTGTGGCCACCCTACCCAGCTGGGTTTCTTCAGACATGTTTGCTATCCTCAATAGGAGGCAGCTCAACAGCTGCCACAATTCAATATCTCCTTTCTCTTCATGCTTCATGAGGATTATTATGGGCCTTTCTGTTCTTGAAAGTGCCATTCTGTTGCAATCTGAACACAAGCAGAATATAAGTAGTGAAAAAGCATACAAAAGGACTAAACATGTCATGTTAGTTTCTGATAGCTCATGGAAAAAATGTCTGAATAATAACTGAAGGATTACTAAAATATTTAAAAATGAAGATGGAAGAGGAAAAATGAACTACAGGCACATCATGCAAAAAGTATTCTTTGAGGTAACACATCAGCTTGATAAGAATTGTTTGAACACTACAAAGATTTTAAATTTTATGCTTCTTCATTTAAAAAATATCCACATATATACAATAGTTAAAAGCCTATGCTAACACTTTTGTGGTGTGTATGCCACAAAATACTTCCAAAAGTATCATTTACATCTCTCTTCCAGCTTATAAAAATGTTAACGTTGCAGCACTTGTGATCCAAATGTAATTTCTATCGCTGTAATGGGGACCCTTCAGTTTCATATATTATCTTGATGTTCTCCATTTTAATACCAGTCCAGAAAGTATCAGACGATTCTTCTCATCTCACGTGTGTTCTTAATGGTGGATTTTTAGAAGGATCTGTAAATACATAGGCTAGGTTAATTCAGAGCAGATAGATACATATTTTGGGAATGCATTTTGGATGTAGTTTCTACAGCAGTTTAAACAACCTAAGTTGTGTTTATCACTTATTGTTAAACAGATAGATATTGCTCTGTAGGCCTTCAGTTGCAAAAAGTGTTATATACAGATGAGGATTTAGACAGACTTAATTTCTATTTGCTACACAACTGCAAAAGTCTGATGAACACAAACTGTATGTCTAGCCACGTAATTTTATTTTTTTGCTACTAAGTCTTTACAGTAATTAAGTGCTTTCCTTATATCTTTGGTCTCTATTACCACTGTAACAAATCTCAGTCCCATCTGTCCTATGCTTACAACTCAGCTTTTCACAGTACAGCTGGTTTCTGTTCATTATTTTCACTCACCCTATTTAATGCTATTGGATAACTATATGACATTCCCATGTTTACACACTTACCTCTAGCTATCTTGCTGGGATATATTTTCTGAAATGGCTTGAATTCATCAGGTGGGGGGAAATCCTCCACAGAATGGAAAGTAAATTTAGATTCAAAGTCATCTAGGAAGTTTCAGGGAAACAAACATTAGTTACTGTTACAGATTTAAAAAAAATAAAATAAATTGCCACTATTAATTTCAAATGCAGACTGGTTTTCCCTGGGACAGATAGCGGCTTACTCCAAATAAGCAGTCTTGAGCCAGCTAGTGAGCCATACAAATTTTCTGGCTTAATTGCAAACACTGCTAGTAACCGAAGTTAAGCTTCTGGCTGCCTTTGCAGTTTTCTGCACTGATGATGTTGTGGTAACAGATGTATTCCTCCATGGTTTTCAAGCAATTTAGCAAGAATGAATGGCCAATTCATCAGACCACAAAAGTAGTGCTTAGTAGGCTTTGCTGCATAGGATTAAAGCTACATAATGTCTGTGAACTATTTCAAAGAATAATAATGTAAGCACAGTACAGCAAATTCTCAGAATCTCAAATAATTTTGCAGGTAGTTCCTGAGTTTGTCTATTGAATTGTTCAAAACCTTTGTGGAAAAAAAAACCACCTTCATTTTCTCTTGGTAAAAAAAAAAAATTCTATTGGTCAAGTTGTATTACTACACTGTTATGAGAAAGATGTGAATGAGTTTTTGAAGTCTGAGACACAAAGGCTTTTGTACCGAAGTCTTCAACTAAAGCTAATTTAGATGATGTTACCAATAATATGCATATTTCCATTTTTGAGTGGTGGATAGGGGTCATGAACTGTTGCCCAGGCTGAGGCTCCAGACTTGCTTGTGAGTTCAGTTGTTGGTGACCTGGCTGGTGGCTGTGGAGGAATGGCAAGCTTCCCAGCACCAGCTCCTGAAAAAGAGGAAGCAGACCAGTATATAAAGATCATCACAAATTAATGACGTTGACAGTAAGCTCTGCACAGAATTGGAGGGTGTTATAAAAAGGAGTGCAATATCTGGGACAAACATATCCAGCTGTTGTAGGTGACTTCATACATCTTCTGGACAGACTGTGTAAGAGAGAGGGATCCTGAGGCCTCCAAGTTAGCCACTAGATAACCAAAATGGAAACCTCAGAAGTTGAATGACCACAAGAAAAGCATCTCTATAAAATAATGGTTCATCACACCATTCCCAAGCATCATTAATCACTGTCACAAAGCAGCTGATCTACTGTACTCAGAGCCTTTCCCGTGGCTGTCAGAGGGAACCAGTAAGCTTTCTCTTGAAGTGTGGCTACTGAGATACAGAGTACAGAACATTCTCTTCAAATGTTCCATATTAAATAGCTGTCTCCATTTCACAAGTCCACACAGATCTAGACTCATTTTTTATTATCCTCATTATATCATGTCTGAAAAAAGTTCCTCCTATCATCTACTCAGGGAAACATTAGCCAATATCCTCACTACCCAAGTACTCAGAGGAGCCTCACGCTCTACTTACCTTTGTTGAAAAGCAGAGGACTGCATCCATATTTACCTTTACACATCTATGGCTGCAGCTATACCGTATTTATTCTGTTCTCTCCTGTAAAGTTTCCCAATATAGCTCCAGTCTGCACAACTACATCAGAAAAGGGATGTTAAAAGCAGTCTGGAATTTGAGTAACTGCACATCAGGCAGATGTTACTGTCAGAAGAGCCTGAGGTCCGGCATGCTCATTACACATTATGCTAATTACATTCCTCCCACATTATAAGCTTTCTCCTGCTGCTATGTATACTGTATCCACACCCCTGTGAGCTCTTCAGCCATCAGTGCCACTTCCCTGCTGGCCAAAAGAGGTAGAAAAATTTCAAACAAACACTGTTCTCACCTGGGCCTCGGCCTGGTCTCTTCTTCCTGGTCTCCAACACTGCTGCTGGCTGAGGAAGGGGTGGGGTGGGAGGGAGAGGGAGCGACTGAATATTACTGGGTTTATGCAGATGGGACAGCAAGTGAGGAGACTTGGGGGGCAGTGGTGGGGGCACGTCACCACCAACACTCACAGCACTACTGATGGCTGGGGAGGGTGGGAAGGAGAGCCTGTTTGAGGCTGGGGGAAATGCGGGGAGTGGAGGAGGAGCTGGCGGCGGTGGTGTGGGAGGTGGATAATCCCTTGCTTCTGATGGAGAGGAAGCAGCAGCGGAGAAATCGGTTGTCTTGGCTGGGAATCCACAGGGGGGTAAGGGAGGAGGAGGAGGAGGCAGGTGCGAAGCACCTCCTGGTAATTTTGTGGGCTTGTCAGCCTGGGGAGGGAGCGGGGGCAGAGGAACAGAGTTGGGGGATCCCCCCTTGGTAGGCCTTTCTGCTGGAGGGGGAAGAGGCGGAGGAGGAGGGAAGGTGAGGGAAGGTTTGCTGGCAGCTGGAGGTGGCGGTGGAGGTGCAGGCAGGCTGGGCCGTGCAGTGCCAGCCCGGGAAGTGCTGGGAGGCTCCGGTGGGACAGCTGGCCAGGGGCTGTCGGATGGGTTTGAGGGGCTACTTCCTGCCTTTGCAATGCTGTTCGGTGGGACTGTGGCCTTGGGAGCCGCTGCCCGGACTCCAGGAAGCTGCCCAGGCCTCCCTCCTGAAAAAAAAAGATCACACTTTACATACCGGTATTTTGTTCCGTCTTATCAGGCAAAACAGCACAAAAAACACTATTCATCTTCCCTCCCCAGTGGCCATTCTGAGTGATTAAATGAATCCACTCAAAACGTCTCATATCCAACAAATTGTCCATGGTGCAAGGGACCTGCGAGGTGATGTGTTCCAGAAGACACTACAGATTCTGCTAAGTTAAATGCTGACCTACTGGGAGGCCCTGCTCCCCTCTGTGTTCCTCAGCTTCTGCAACACAAAGCACTTGAAGGCGAAGGTGTTTTTCTGTGGTGGCAGGTGGTCCTCCATAGTGACACATCTGCCTGGTGCAGCCAGCTGGATGTGAATGGTCCGTAAGTCTGGGAGCATCGAGGGTTGGAGTGAAAGGCCCCAGAGAACACAAGCAGATTGATGCACATCCACCTGCATCCTTAAGTACTTGCTTACGATTAAAAAAATCGCACAAATGTTGCATAAATCTCAATCCTGTGGACCTTTAAAAGTGGTGTCTCAAAGAAGTGGTGCTTTCTAGAAGGTGCAAATGTTTTCTCTTCAACAGCAAATGCCCAAAGACACTTGACCTTACACTATTTGCCTAAGTACACGTCCAAATTTTTCAGAAAGCAAGATGTCAAAAAAGGTAGCTCATTCTATATTCTGAGAAGCGTGGTCCTGGTTTAAGAATAACTCGAAGTAGCTACTGTAGCTTTGTGAGTAAGCCCCGTCACAAGCTGTGCTGAGCATCTTGAGCTTGTCTTCCAGAAGAAAAAACACAGAACAGCTGCAGGTAGAGTCAAGTTCTGTCTTTCCTTACAAATGCCTGCTGCTATGTCCTGCCCATGCAGACAACAGCTGCCCAGCAGCACCAGAGGTCACTGCTGCCACTCTAAAGGGCTAAAAAGAGGCAAAAGCAGCAATAGGGCTCCCAATCATCCCTTGCTCCTGTCCTTGTGAAGCATCAGTTACCTTCTTTTTCAGGTCAGTAAATTACCTTGCTGGATCGGAACTGTCCTTTATAAAACCCAGATGGCATACGTCTTAAAAATTAAATTCTAAAGTAACATACAAGCCTGTAACATCATAGAAATACACAGTAATGGAGAGAAGGAAGTGTGACTTTTTTTTTGCCATTTATGCTGAAGGTATACAGCATAAATAGGTATACAGCATAAATAAATGAAGATAAACAGAGTATTGAAATCTGAGGTTATCTGAGGCACAGTTACAAGTTTACATTAAGCTAATGTAAAAATATACCCATGTAAAATTCTGCAGTCTACTGAATCTATTTCTTATCCAATGTACTAGAATTGCAGTTCCCCCCAGCTGTTCTCCTGTGCAAATGAAGTCCTCACCTGGCACATCTCTCTGGCCTGCTGGTCTGAGAACGGGAAAGCCGCCAGCAAATAAGCCTCCCAGGGGCTGCTGAGAGCCACTCTTATTAACGGCTGGGCTAACTCCATCTCTGCTACTTCCTTTGGGTTCTGTTATAGGAAGAAAAGAAAAAGCACGGCAAAAAGCCATTTCATCAGTGCTCTCAGGCTGCTAAGACTGAGCAGCAATAAACACAGTCAAGACCAGACTTCTTCCTCATTCAATTAGCTCAGTAAGGACAGTTACTGTCAATACAGTAATGACCATTCTTCTGACTGGTATCTTGAAGCACTGCGCCCTCTGGTGCTTTTTAATCTCACATCGATGATGGCACCAGAAAAAGTTGTTTTAGACTACACTCAAAGATCTTCAGATCACTGATATTTATTGTAATCCTTGTTGGACCTGTCAGGAATGACTTCTTAGAGTTTGGCTAATCAAGCACATCAAGATCTTCATAACCTTACTTTCATGTCTTGCCTCTTCCCCCCACTATTCCCAAGATACTTTCTTTTAGCACTATCACACTAAGGTAGACAAGAAACTAATAATAATAGTTTATTAATATTTATTTATTAATAAACTAATATACCAATAGTTGTTGATATTTATTAATAATAAATAAAACAACTAAACAACAACAGGGTTCCGCCATTAGCAAGATGCCTGGGAAAGGGTTCAGGTGAGAACAAAGACTAAAAAGAAAAGGCTCAGGCAACTGCTGTAACTTGTTAACAGTCTTTTCTCCAATTCTAAATGATGATCAGGCATGTGTTTTCAGCTAAAAGAGGTTAGGAAGTAAACATTCCTGTTCCAAAGGAATTAAGTTAATACATCCAGATTTTTTATTTTTTTGTTTTTTTTATTTTTTTTTGCATCTTTTGTTCTTTTTATCTACTAAAAAACAGCTCTTCTGCTGGAGGCAGTAATTCCTGTTTAAACAATCATTTTAAAAAGAAACTCCCATGGGTTTCATCATTCCTGACTTCATTGTTTTTTTCTTTCTTCTGGTATGAGGAATGCCTGTTAAGGTGATACCCAGATTCAGCCTTATTATGAAGTATTAATAGCTGTTGATTTCAGGACAAGATGTACCTTTAGAAATTTGAGCTCTCCCCTTTCACATCCTAAATATGTTGTCCATAGATGAACTCCAAACCCACCCAAACCCTGCCCAGCTGACCTCCACAAATGGGGCTCCTGCAGACCTCACCCACGGCCCTCCTGCAGGAACTTACTTTCAATCTGTGGTGCACTTCGGTCATTGATTTGAGTCACTTTTCTTAAGCGAGTTCCCTGCTGGATATCAGCCAGCAGCGCGTTTCGTGCTTTCTGCTCATCCTTCTGCAATTTGGGTAGTTCTGAACTCACCTGTTGAGGATACGAACATTAGACAGCAGGTACTAATAAAAATGCATGCTCAGAAAGGACACAAATGTGACAGAAAATTTGAAATAAACCATCCCTGGCAGCTGTCATTCCAAGGCCTTTGGATTCAGCCAGAAGAGCATTCAGTTGTACAGAAGCAGCAATCCTGAAAGTTTAAATATAGCACACATCTAATATCAGTGAGTTTAATACTGTTGAAAGGAAATTAGGGAGTCATGCTTATATGAAACGTGACCCCTCACTTGGCCGTTTGGGGTCTCTGCCCCACAACTGCAGCTCCAACTGCCTTTATCTCTTTTCATTCTATTTACAATGCTTTGTAACTAAGGTTTTATATGCCTCCTTAGAACAAACATCCTTCTGTTTTAGTTGTATTGCCTTAGGGAAAAAGAGTATTATTTGCATATCAAACTTATAATTGAACATGATCGTTAGTCATTAACTGATTTAGATTCTCTGTACTGGAAAATTTAAGCAGTTTAAGTAGACAGTATTTACAACAATGCAATTATATTTCATTAAATTTTCTAGCCTAACCAAGGACCGTAAATGTAAAGTCAGGCTGAAGTTCAAAGTTTTGTAATAAAAACAAAACATATTTTTATTTTTTATTCTTATTTCATTAAGTTTCCTTTTATAAAAGCAAGCACATTCTGCTTAAATCTTTGGAAGTTTTGCTTTTCTGAAGCAGAGCTATTTCCAAACCTATCATGTGGTTAACAGAGCAGTCTAACAGAGGGAAATCTTCACAACAGCAATGTGCTGCATGTTCCCACATCTATTACAAATTCCCACAGGTTTCCACAGGTTACGTTTCATAATGCGTTCAAGAAAGATTTAGACGTTGCACTGAGGGATATGGTTTAGTGGGGAAATATTGGTGGTAGGCGGACGGTTGGACTGGATGATCTTTGAGATCTTTTCCAACCTTGGTGATTCTATGACTCTACGATAAACCCTAATTTTACCATCACAGGCATAATAAAGTACAATACTGTCACGTTTTTAAAAAGCCAACCACACACCACTTGGTTATAGCATTCTGAAAGCAAAACAAAAGCTCGAAAAAATGTAACCAGCTTCTAAATTATTAAAACACCTAACTTGCTAATTCTAAATGAAAAATTGCACTGTTATTATTTGTAGTTACACTAGCTTAAAAATATTTAGAAATGGACAGATTTGCAGAGCCCCACTAGATGGCACTCCAGATTGCTGCCGATGCCAGCTGCATTCCTAACAACTGATGTAAAAACTCTGTATTATACAATCTTGTGACTGATAATGTAACTATATATTAATTTAAAGAATTATGGAAAAAACACACCCTTTTACATAGTTTCTGAACCAGTGCTACTTCCCCTTGTGCTTTAATGGCAGGGATTCTCATTTCCCCTTATGACCACCCTGAAATGCTCCACATACAGCAAAAGCAACATTAGATCTTGGACGAGCCAGGAGCTCTTTCCACTCACATTTCCTTAAAGCTGATAGTACTTACTGTGAAAAATGGAAACACCATAACTGGAGCAAGGACGGCTTCCCTTTCCACACAGTTTTTTTACCAGTATCTTGAACTTCACGCCTCTCTACGGTTACACGACAATTAGGATTGAAAGGGATCTGATCAGGACCTAGGTTTAAAATTAGCTCCAGCAGCTGTTTTCATTTCCAGGTTCAAGTGTCCACACACACTGCCAGCTGCCCACTCCGTCTCCCCAGCCTGCATTTCTCAGCAGGTAGACTCTTGGAATATAAAAACTCATGATAGCCACACAGCTATTAGACTAAAATGCCCTGCTTGTGGCAACTTATATTTGCAAGCAACCCAAGAGTTGATATCACTGTAAGAGGGAGGAGAGAGCAATTTGTTCACAATTTGTTCACACAAGAAAGGAATGCTATGCTGGAGGCCCAGAAGACAATCCCCTTCCTTCAGGACCTACTCTGTGCCTGGCCCAGCTTTTTCCTCTGCCTCCTCAGTAAGGGACACCACGGTCAGCCTGGGTGGCTGATGAGCTGCTGAGTAGCTTGATACGGATTCTCTTTTTCCATTACAAACTCGGGATGCTCTGGGTGTAACGTTGCCTGCCTGCAACCCGGTCAGAGCTCCTGCAGACTCCTTGTTTGCAGCCTGCTCTTTCAAGGGCTGCCACAGTTCTTGTCAAGAGGCATTTCAGCAGGGACCTCACCCACACAGATGCTGCCCTGTCCTTGCAAATTCTTATTTAAATGTCAAGTTAAACTTCAAGTCTAAGCACATGAAACAGAAATAATTAAGCGGGAAGACAAATCTATTTTGAGTCACTGAGGGAAAACAGCTGCAAGACAAAGGATGCAAGTAAGTCTCAGACTGCTTCTTTTTCCCCTCACTGAAGGGCAGTCTCACTTATTTACAGAAACACCTCACTCTTTCAACGAAAATCAAAAGGGAAGCAGAGAATGCAAAGATAATTTATTTTATCAGATGCTAGAGCTGCCTGAGGTAACACAGATTGAAATTAGATTCTATGCTTTATTTACATGAAGCAGTAGAGGACTGGTGGGCTCTCACCATTTTAATAGCCACTGGGATATTCTGCTACTAATTCAAACACAAGCAACGGCACATTCAATATGTACTTTGAAACAGAATGGAACAAACCACACATGTAAACAGCCTGAACATAACAGAAGTAGTCCCTCTTTGTCTCAAACTCCACTACTTTTGTCTTTAGTGTCCTAACATCAGGCTCTCTGTAAGGTATAGGATCAATACAGATCCCCATCCCTGGAGGCACATAAGGCCAGGTTGGATGGGGCCCTGGGCAGCCTGATGTGGTGGGTGGTAGCCCTGCCCATGGCAGGGGGTTGGAACTATTTGGGCTTTAAGGTCCCTTCCAACCCAAGCCACACTACGGTTCTGTGATTTTATGGAAGTTTGGACCACATAACATGACACCAAAGCACTTAAACAAGAAAATGCCATCAAATGTGATGTTCCAGCTTATAAATCAACAATAATGGAAATAAACATTTCAAAATCTACAGGTGGTAACAGACCAGCACAGTCATGAATAATGAGGATTGGATATAGAGGCTTTGAATCACTGCAGGTTGAGGCCATTCAAAAAGAACAAGAATGCAAAACACACTCCCCACCACTGGAGATGCCAGAAGAGAACCAAAGTGGCAGTCAGAAAGCAAATGTTTAGATTTCAGGAGCTCAGCCTGATTAATCGGCCTTGAGGGTGATCTGCCTACAGAATGCACAGAGCCTTGAAGAGAAAGAATGGTGACTGCTAAGGACCTGCTAAGCCAGCAGAGACAAGCGTTTGGTGATTTCATGTAAAACACAGGCAACCTACAATTTGAAAGCAGGCAATTACAGAGCGACCATTTCCTTGCAGAAAACACCTGTGGACAACAGCAGATCATTTCAGTCTCGGTTTTCAGATTAAGGCTGGCTCCTCTGCGGCAGAGAGCTTTTTGTGAAGCACAAGTCATTGGGCTTTTTTAAAGTCTTTTTTTCATCCTAGTAAATTAACTTTATATCCTGCAAGCTGAATGGAAGCACTGACATACCCTCTGGGCTCCTACGACATTTAAAATATTTCAGAGGTATATGTGCTCACATACTGAAATGATGTAAATGAAGAAAGCACCAGGCATTTGGAAAAGTTCATTGTAGTACCAATAATAGGGACATACTAATTACTACCTTTCAGATGTTAAAGAGCAGCCCTGCACCCAGAAAAGGAGAATTCCTCTGGACAGATAGCTCAGGTCACAGTGCATGCATAAATTGTCCCATAAATGGGTTATATTTTTTCTGATGCTTAAATATGTTCCTTACTGAATTTGAAAAGTAATTTGGGATAGTGTAGATCTTCATAAACATGACAGCTGAAGCTCAAATGCATCTCCAGCCCTCTGCAAATCCCACAGCCAGGGAGCCATAGACCTTTATTTCAGAATTAACCCATCACCTGATGGGGAAAAAAGGATCCCATGCTCCATCTCTGTAGTGGATAGGAGCCACGAGTAAGATAAAATAAAGGACAATTCCATCTAAGAACACTGCATTCCCTTTTATTTCAAAGAATTAATATTTTAATATTCATAACACGTAATGAATGGCATCATCACAGTACATTCCCTTTCCTGGTCATTTTCTATAAGAAATACGTTAAGGAGAGCCGTGTAGAAAATGCATTCATTTACCTGAATTGGATTTTAAAGAAAGTCAAAAGACATTTAGCCCATCCTTAGCAATATCTATTTAGTAAGGTATATGGCAACAAAATTAAAGATCAATCAATCATTTGACACACAGTCTTTCATTATGGGCAGAAAGACAGCTCTCACGTTTGCTGACAATTTCATTTATTTCTGTGAATCTACTGTCAATCTTCCTTACTCTCTCCCATGTTCCATTTTTCCTTCATCAAAATGGAATTTGATGCAGAGATCAAACACGGATACTGGCAGGATGCATGCGCTCTGTGTATTTCAGTAAACAAAGAACTTGAGGACATCCCTTAACAAATCCTTGCCTTCCTATTGTTCTCCTATGCTATTCCTAGCAGAACCTGCCCAGACAAGGGTTGAGGCAAGAAATTTTTCCCTGTGCAGCATGTAGCATCTCTCTTTTGCCTTGTGAGGAATTGGAAACGCATTGCAGTGACGAACAGAATGCTTTAGGATAAGGAACGCCTGATCACAAATACATATGAAGGAGCACAGGGCCAGACCTGGCCTCCTCCAGCATCCAACCAGACATAATTCACAGACCAAACTTGGAAATGTGAAAGAAAAAGTAAGGCTACAGGTGTGGCAATGCACAGCTAACAGCAGCAGTGTGAGCAGCAGATGGGGTCAAATCTAGCTCCAGCTGTTCAGGCAATGCAGCCAGGAATGCACAGTGCTAATCTGGGTGAAGGAATCGTGCGTGAGCACTGTCAAACAACTGTGACATTGAAACCAGAATTCAAGGAACCTAT